ATGGCGGAGTTTCTCTTGCTAAGAGATAACCTCCTATCAGTTCTCCTAGGGTTGATAAAAACAACCCCCTCCACACACACACACACAACAAGCCTCCACTGGCAAGTGAGAAACAAATGTAAAGCTGTCACTGAGACCTAGAGGAAAATGAAAACATGATTAGAAAAAACCTCTGTATCTTCTCCTGCCCTTTTTTAGCCCATCTGTTTTGGCTAGTCAAAGGACTGCACCTTACCCACCCACAGCCCATGCGGTTCTGCCAGTCCAACTCCTCACTAACTGCAATCAAGCCAAACATCCTGGAGATACTGATGGTTTTTGGAAGAAAAAGCATGTTGGTTTTTTTTCCCAATACCTGAAATTTCAACGTCCTCTGCCCTACCAGAAGGGAAGCAGCCACATTACCCCCCGCCAGGCCCTCCCATCTCGTATCTGACGTGCAGCCTGAGCTAGAGCAGAGCACCAGAGCCAGGCCCAGCAGCACAGCTCACTTCTAAAAATACTCGTCTCGGTGCTTCCAGTCATGACTAGATGATTACACAGCTGAACTAAGTGGTTATGAGGTCTCTACAGGATAACCTCTATCTTACCGAGTCTGCATAGTTTTGACAAATGGAAGATACAGCAGCACAACATCTGGAGCTTGGAAAAACATGTCGCACACATGTGGGAGCAAGAACCCCCTGTCACAGCAAGCTCAGTACTAAAACCAGCGTTGCAGCAAGATACAGGAATCCAAAGAAGTTTTGCACAACTCACTTTTCAAATCAAGCCTTAACTTTTTCCCTTTTGCTGCTAAAAAAAAAAAGTCATAATATTTTGAATGACTTTTAAGAGCTTAGATGAACTTAGCTTTAAAAAGCTCAGAGAGAAGATTACGTGATCACGCCCTGGTCAGAGCAAAGACACGAAGTCTCAGCAATACCAGTTCAGATAATGCTTCGCTCATCATTGCTTTGGGCAGATCTCATTTCCGTTCAGTAAGCACATGCTCTCAAGTCAAATATTAAGCAAATATTCCCAGGGGGAGGGGAAAAGAAAACACACAGCAAAACACACGTGGTTGGTTCAGGGTCGATTCTTTTCAGCTTTCTGCAGCACAGACTTCCCGTGTGACGCTTCCGCCCGGCTGCCTCCCTTCCCCTCCC